AGAAAACTGATTGGTGGTGGGTATCCGTGCAAGCCAAATAGAAGGACTTCAACTACTGCATAATATGCTGGCAATGGATCAATGAGACCAGAGATCCAAACTGGGAGGGTAAAGACTACAGTTGGTCTAACTGACGGAGTATGCAAGTTGCAAGTGGATGATGGATGGGAGTGGTTAAATAAGTTGTTTGGCAACTGGGGTCTGGGGAGTCCCTGCTCTTGTGAATAGTGCATTTACATGATCAGGGAGCAGCAGGGATAACCCTAGACCCAGGGGATTCTAAGAAATTCTTGGTTTTGAGCTCAGATTCTTTTGTACAGGACGCATTTAGAAATAATGTTCAAGAGACAAATTTGTTGGCCCTGGCTGCTCAAGAAGGTAATAATAAATATCCTATGGAAAACGATTGGCCCGGATCTGAACATCAATGGTATACTTTGCGAGATCATATACAGCGAATAAAAGAGAACAGAATGAAGCTGGCCATTTTTATGGGGAACGCTGATACTTTGATGTACAATCCCCTATTAGATTAGCATATAAAAATGTGATTATGACCCTTCTGATTAATGAGACAGGGAATCCCCTAGATGTGGTAATTGGAAAAATACAGCAGCTGGGTGACCTTGGGGAATGGGGCCCCCAGGACGGGGAGGCTGAGAGTCGAAATAATTGCCAAGGCAGTGAAAACAGGATTTCTCAAAATGAAATGTTTATCACTTTATTAAAAGATGGGATGTCTTGTGATAAGATTGATGGTATCCCAACCCCTGATTTATGGAAGATATATAAACAGAGAGGGTTGAATAAGCCCAACAAGAAAGTACAGAACTTTAAAGCAAAAAACCCAGAACAACTCAGCCTACGGCACCCCGTCTGGAGCCCCGATGGGGCTTCGCATCCCCTCATGGAGGGCCCACCGCAGGTGGATCAGATGTTCCGGGGGAGAAGGATTGGGAGCTGTACTCTGACTTGTATCCTTGGAAAGAGACTAGGGACATAGTTCAGTATAGGAAACAAAAATGAAGTGACGGCCAAGCTCCAGTGTGAGGGGCACGGAAGGACTGGCGACTCCATGTGGAGCTTCAAATATTTTGAAAAAAACAGTCCTCGCAAATTGTAAAAGCCTTAATTTACACTGGGGGTGGAGGACTTCTTAATATATGGAAATCCCAAGAAATTTAAAGGACAACCTGTAATTATTGCTGGTTTGGGGGGGGAAACAAATTGAAGCTGTGCAAACACAAATAGAAATGAAAATAGGGAACCTCCCAAAACAATTGTATTCAGTTACGATTGTTCCTGTCCCTGAATATATAATTGGGATTGATATTTTAAAGGGACTGACTTCTTTGAAACTTTCTGATGGTTTGTACCAATTTGGAACAAAGAACTATATTAGTGCCCGGACAATCTTAGTCGGGAAAGTAAAAATGCCCCCTGTGCAGATTCCTGCCGCAACCGAATTGATGGCCATGAAACAGTACAAGATTCTGGGGAGGCATGAAGACATTTCACAGACAATTAACGACCTAGTGGATGCAGGAGTTTTAAAAACCTACTACCACAGCTTGGAATAACTCTGTCTGGCCCGTTCAAAAGAGTGACGAGTCATGGGGAATGACTGTGGATTTCAGAGAATTAAATTAACACACCCTACCTCTTCCAACAGCTGTACCAGGTATTGTCACCTTGATAGAAAAAACACACAAGCATTCTGGAACTTGGTATGCAGTAACTAATTTGGCTAAAGCTTTCTTTACCAGACCCATTGCTGAGGAGCATTGGGATCAGTTTGCCTTTACTTGGCAGGGGCGACAATATATGTTCACCAGGTTGCCCCAAGGATGGTTGCACAGTCCAACCATCTGTCATGGAACAGGGGAACCAAATAACGTGTCCCTCGCTCTTAGCTACACCCAGGCCCAGACGTGAGTGCAGAGTGTCGTTGCAGGTATATTGAGAGACGGAGACAACGGAGTCCTCCCCACCGAGATCCGAAAGATCGTGTGGGACGCGGCCATGAAGGAAGAATGACAAGTGTGGTGGAGACCTGTGACCTTCACCCACAACCAGTCCAATGCCCTGACCACAGGCCATGCCACTCCAACCCTGCTGTGGTCCCATGACCTCTTTTGGGGCTGTGGTGGGGCAGATGAGGTGGTGGTGCTGGAGCCCATGGGAGGGCACTCATAAGCATGGCCGTGCCTCACTGGTCCCATCTGGTGCAGTCCTGAGCAAACTTCTGCTTCTACAGAAACCAATCTCACTTCTCCTTTACACCACGGGGGAGCAAGCCCAGCAAGGCAGGCTTGGAGCCAGCGTGGCCCAGGGCATCGCCAGCTCCTGTCCACATGGCCCAGAGTGTGGTTTATGCTGACCTGAGGTTTGCCAAGGTGCCCACAGGACGCAACATGGCCTGCCAGGCCCTGGAGGCAGGTGAGAGCCCCTGGGGCCCCTGGCCTGACCACCCCAGGCCCAGCCCTCACAGACTCACCTGCTATCCCTTCCCTTCATCCAACAGTCCTGGGCATGGATGAGGCAGAGAGCCCCTACGAGAACATGCAGCTGGGGCAGGTGCCAGGAGGGCAGGACGAGCAGGGGGTCC